GCCAGCGGCCCCACGCCCACCCGTGGAGATTATCAGTGGAGCAGAGATTCCCCTGCAGCCCATGGAGGACCCTGCACCAGAGCAGAGATGCCTGAGCCTGAAGGAGGTCATAGGGAATGGTCTCCGTTTGCTGCTGGAGACTAATGATGAGGCGGAGAGGCATCTGAAGGCCGTGGAGAACCCCACACCAGAGCGGGTGGCAGCTCCCTAAGAAGCTGTGAGTCTGTGGGGAAGAAGCCTGCACCGGAGCAATCTGATGGATAAGGATTGCATCCTGCAGGAAGGACTCACATTGGAGAAGTCTGTGGACTGCCGCATGAGGAGGGGATCCACTGGAGCAGGGGAAAAGAATGTAAGAAGCTCTTCTCCTTTGAGAAAGGAGTGACAGAAACAATGTGTGAGGAACTGACCTGGAACTCCCCCATTCCCAGTCTCCCTGTGCTGTTGGAGGAGGAGGTAAAGCGGGGAACGGAGGGGTGGAGAGGGGAAGAGATTTCATAGATTTCTAGGTTGGAAAAGACCTTAGAGATCATCCAGTTCAACCTTCTCTAATCCCCATTAAACCATATCCCTAAGTAGTTCATCCACCCTATTCTTAAACACATCCAGGGATGGGAACTCAACCACCTCCCTGGGCAGCCTATTCCAGTGGCTGACAACCCTTTCAGAGAAGAATAGAAAGGGAAGGTATTTTAAGATCTGGCTTTGTTTCTTGTCCTCTCAAGTAACTGTTAATTAATTAAATTGATTTGTCCCCAAGCTGAGTCTGTTTTGCCCGGGGCAATGGTCGGTGGGTGATCCCTCCCTGTTCTTATCTCGACCCTCAGGCCTTCTTGTTACATATTTCTCCTCTCCACCTCACCGAGGGGGAAGAGTGAGTGAGTGAGCAACCTCCTCGTGGTGGCTTAGCTGCCGACTGGGCTAAACCACAACACACTCACAGTCAGAAATCAAGGGTTATATTTTCTATTTTCTTAGAAAATTTCTTAGCTGTATTGATACATGGAGATTATAGGAGGGTTTTTTTTCTTAAAAAATAAATAAATAACGTTTTGGGCTTCTTCAAGTACTACGACCAATTTGCTTTATACTCATGCACTAGATTTATCTGTGTGCAGGTACCTGCACCCGTGCATGCTTACAGGGAGAGGATGTATGTGTGTTTGTTTGCACACGTGTATGTAGGAGAAAGATAATGCTTGCACGCATGGGAACACAAGCCTAGATGTAATAAAAGATGGTCTAGACTTACTCAACACAGCTGAAATTAACACCTAACTCCAGTATCTTTATTTACTTCAAATGAGCTCTTTTTGTAAAGAAGCAATACTTACGTAACACTGGCCTCCGGATATTTATTCTTTGTACTATGGTAGTACACACGAGATTCCAGCCCACTGACAATGTACAATAAGATTTAAACGAGCAAAATCAAACAGTCACCAGTCCAGAGAGTTAAAACTTAATTCACCTGCCTGTTGAGATGGCTGAAATTGTTGAGTAGAGACCCCATGTCTCCAGGTACTCACCTGATCAGAAGCATAGGCCACCAGCCTGCCCATGATGTCTGCTTCTGTTAGCTCAGGCTTTTCTGACTGCACCCGTCTGATAGTTTTTGTTCTTGCAGCAAGCAGTGAAACCAGGGTGGCCTCGCTTGCACTTCCCTGTGGGACAGATTGAAGGAAGGTTCAAAAGGAAGACATTCCAGAAGAAGAAAAGCAACATTTTCTTCTGTATGAATCTGCGAAGTGGTTAACAGAAACTGCATACAAGACACTGTGTTTTTTAAGAACTCATGCTTTTTAAGAACATATGTGACAGCAAGGGAGGAATCTCTATTTCATCCTGGTCTCCTCCTCCCTGATGCCTCTATCTGCTCTCTTTAATCTCTATGCTTGCTTAGTTTATGCACCAGCCTTGCAATCAGTGCTAGAAAGCTACAACAGTAGAGTAACTTGATTTCCGTTACACTAGATTTCAGCATGTTTAACTTCTGTCAGAATCTGACTCTCATTTCTATCAAGCAACATTCATAATTATAATGCTTATTTAATATTTAAAGTTGCCCTGGGCAAGTCAATTATTGCGGCTAAAAGAGAAAAAACACTGGAAAAGCAAAAAAGCTATGATTCAATATAGCTAACTGCATTTCAAAGTATTAGTTATGTATGTTCTCTTCATCAAAACTACACAGACGAAAGGAACAGTCAGACAATATTTCTAAATTGCCCTTTGACTCACAAAATGAGTTTAAATTGTGTCTTGGATACTCTGTGACAACAACGAGGGGATTTTTTTTGTATCAATTGATCTGTAAATTTCACAACAGAATACAAGTTCCCACAAATTATTTTTACGGTTCTTTTCTAGAACAGGCAGATGAAACACAGTCTAAACTGCTCTTTTAAACTATAAGTAACAGCTTGTAAACACATGTTCATAAATTGCAATGGTTTTGGGTGTCCATACCCAAGATAGAGTTTTTAGGTACTTTCAAAGTTGAAGCAATTGTCATGTGAATCTGCCTCTGTCAAGCACCTGACACTGCAATGAATACAGTTACTTATATGTATGTCTCAGAAACATCCCCAGAGTCCAAAAGCTAATTTTGCAGTGATGTTTCTTATCCTGTACCAAAATTCCATCCTCCCTCTGTTGAAGACCTGTGTATACTTACTAATTACAACAAATGTTTAAATATTTGGGAAGCCTTATTTCTTCCCTGGAGGCAGACCTCATCCGACAGATTTCATACATGAGAATGATCCCGGTGAACTCAGACTTTCTCCTAATACTGAATTTAGCTGCACTATTTATACAAGACAAAGTTGCCTTCTACACATGTCAACATCTCAACTGTGTGTGAACTCAATTCAGCTGAAATTCAACAGCTTTATGAATGGAGTAGGCAGGAAAAAGGACAGTCCCTAAACTTCTACTAAATGCATTGCTATGACAAATATATTTTATCAGCCTTTTTGATGGTGTAGGACTTGAGGAATGTAGACCCCAGGGTCTGCATCAGAGCTTATAGCTGTTCTGCTGTATACAGCATTACAGCAACTGAGGGAAATATTACAGATACAGAATGGTATAGGAAAACAAATATCTCTCTGCGGTCAAGTAAGGTAGAACTTCCATGTGGAGGGAAGGAGTGAAGGAAATTCTGTCCATTAATTACAGAAAACATAAATCTCCCCATTTAATTTTATTCTGCATATGGTCCGTAGCCAGATACTCAGAATACTCGTCAGAATATCTGAACACTGAGAAACCATGCCTGTCCGTAGTTCTCAAAACTCATGATGCCAGAGCATGTGCACAGTTATCTTCATCTTACACATAAAGACCTTTCAAGATCTGATTCATCTTACCTTATCTGTTTAAAAAGTTAAATATCTGAAATAAAATAATTGTTTAGAGTCCCTTAGTATTCAGTGGAGTGAGGCAGCATATCCAGAAAGCAATGATTCCATCTATTTTAGACGAATATTCTGGACTGAGATAAATGGTACCTTCTTGTATGTTCAACTCCACCTAATGAAATGTGAGATGAGTCTCACACAGTGTAAGTTTCCTGATGAGAAAATTCTGTCATGATGTCTTTGTTAGCAAAACTATTTCTGCCATGCTCAGCACAATATTATCAAAGTAACAGTGAAAAAAAAATACCTGTGCTTCCTGACAGTCCTGTGAGCTAGAACATAATGACTTAGATCTTGGATGTCCAGCAGAGGCAAGGCATGTTTTAAAGTCAAGAACATCACCTGTTTTCTGAGAAGCTGGATTTTTTCCTATTATTTTTTACAAGCAGTATATAATCTTCTAAATAGCCCTGCATAATCAGAAGACTCGCACAATGGGCATATTAGACAATGTTGCCTGAAATACCCTTTCCCACGATTCAGCAGATGAGAATACTTTCCATTTGTGCAAACCACTGCAACTTAATGTGATGTTCATACAGTTTTTCAGGTGAGTTGTATGTCCTCATTATGAGGTTTGGCAACATAAGGCCTGCGTGCGAGACCTAATTCCACCTCGCATTGGGCAAGTCACTGAAAACAACCTAAACCTGGGTTCTTCACCGTAAAGTTAGCTCTAGCACCCTTGCATTTAATATGTTGGAAATAATACCAATTATTACTTTTATTAAAATATATATTTAAAGAGATACATTAAAATCTTTCAAATATACGTGGAGAAAATGGTGGGGTTTTTTCCTTCTTTTTTTTTGTAATGATAAGGCTCTGTAAAACTCTTAGTGTCTTTCCAGGACATGTAAGGAATATGGATATTAAAGAAATGTACACAAATATATCAAATAAAATGGCTGTAGGAAATTCCAAAGGTTAAGGCATTAATTCCAGATCTGGAAATCTAAGCCCCCACAACTCTGGAGACTGCCTGGCTTGGTGGGCAAATGACTAAGGCTTAAGAATAGCCTCAGTCTTCTCTGAGGAGTGCCACAAGATGTCCTGGCATCCTGGCTGTTCATGAAGGCTGGTGCAGTCAGTGTATACAACATTTCTTGTATGAATTTCCTTACACAGAAACAAGGATGAACAGGAAAGGGCCTGTTGCCCAACTGAATTTTGCTTCCTGATACGGAGTTGGGACATAGCCTAAAGGCACCTCAATCCAGCAACTTGGAAATGCCTTTGGATGTCTCATGACAGACATAAGCTTTTTCAGCTTGCCTCAGTTTCCATAAGCCACCTTTTTTATACTGAAGCTTACAGTGTTTGCAGAACCTGGTTTGTAAGGCTCTTCTATTCACTTGGCACCAAAGTCTTGCACTAAATACTTTTGAGAGAAAAAAAAAACTGGTTCTTGAACTACTTGGCTAACTGACAAGCAAAATAAATCCGCAGCGTTTCTTGCCAGGCCAAAGGCAGGCTGAGTCTTATTTTGTTTCACCCTTAAAATACTTCTTCTTTGCAGAGCAAGAAAACTCTTTAAAATTCAAAGTAGGTACATTTTTTCAGCAGTTTATCTAGAATGAACAGTAGGATACAAGCTTCAGGAAGAAAGTCGCTTTCTCACTTATTTTTAAAAGCTGTTTTTTTCTCCTCTTGAATGCTGTATTCTGCATTAAGTGAAGGATGATGATACCTTTCCTTTTACCACTAGCAAACAAAGGTTGCCATGGCAAGCAGGCTCAAGAGGCGGAAGAAATATCAGCAAGAGCTGATGTTCATGTCCACCAGAGCTCTGAATTGAAATTTTCTTTCATCTTTTGCCATTTTCAAGTGTCATCCTACACACAACAACAAAGTGCTTCATATTGACATAGACTTTCAAATGTGATTAAAAGCCAATTTTCACAGGCTCAGTTTTACCCAATACCACAATAATTACTTGGTGTTTATCAAGAGAATGACTGGCACTTTCATACACTCATGTTGTCTTTGCCTCATGCTCTCTTATTTGTATCATTATTGTTTCAAGAGAAAGACAAGAAGATCTGCAGCACAAATTACTTCATTGTAAGCAGGAACACAGAGCCCACTTTCGATTCCTGAAACTGACTGATTTCTGATGAAAATTAGGGGCAATCCAGAATTGTCAGCCTGGAAGGGCAGTATTTGCTGCTGATAACCATCAGGCATAATTGCTTGCTTTCACTAGTACAAAATAAATACTGCTGAGACGCATGACAAAAACTTGATTTCTTGAACATAACCCCCTCCCCAGTAATAGTAATGATGAAGATCCTAACAGAGCAAGCAAATGAGTGAAGAGTTATACTGGAAATACACTGGTGTAGGTGCAGCTCCAAGTAGGAGAATCATAGCAGTTGGGTTAAGTTCATACTCACCTGGGAAGATCTTGAAAAGAATTCATTGGAATATGCTTAGGCACTTGCAGCTGAGATCAAAGAAAGAAGCCCTCGCTTCTAGCATGTAATTCAGACGTATTTTAGAAGCCTTTCTTAGGATAAAACGGATTTTGACCTGGTTTCCGATGACCGGACTCCAGAGATTATCAAAGGAGTGCAGAACAATTATTTAAAATCCAGTCGTTTTCATAGTAGAGATCTATTTTAGTTAGATTAATAGCTGCACTCAGGGTCTGCATTTGCAGAAAGACCATGTGCTAGTGGAGCCACGGCTGACAAACAATATAGCTTTATTATGCATGCAAGTTTGCCCATTGATGATATATTCATTATCGTACAGATACTCTCTTCAGACATTGTAGGCTTCCATTAAGCAGTCAATGGCAAAGTTTGGGGTTTTGTTCTATTTTGGATGCTGCAGTGAAAATTGTATTATCTACTGATAGAACTGTTTAGGTTCAAACTTTAATCAGTTCTGCATTTTATTATAATGTTCCAATATTTCGTTTTGTTATACAAGGAAAACGTCTTTAAATAGTTTAAAATTCTTTGATGAAGATTGATAGAATTTCTACTACATTTTGTTATTTCTACTTATAGAAGATTCTCTCCTATGTTCTTACCCATTGCTTGATCTCTAACACTTTTTTTTTTCCTGAAAAAAAGGAAGGCTGTTTTGGAAACTGACTAAAGTAAACAATTGCACATATATATAGTGGACTTTATGGAAGTTTTTGTAATCACTTCTCATGACACTCTACTCAAAATCCTCAGATATATTTCTATTTGAGAATTTTTTTTCTATTTTCAGCCATGAAACATTGCTGCACATTGTCGGTAAGTATGAGCTCACCAACAAATTAAAGTCTCTATCCTACATGATTTTTCAACATTATGATTTGAATTTTAAGTCCCAATTGTGCTGTTAAGTTGAACTACTAACAATTCTTCACAGAGAAGAGCATTTCAGAATTCAACTGCTCTGAAAACAAAACCGTTATTTTCATTAATGTTCCTACCCACCTATGGACTTTCTCACAGAGCATCAGTCTTCCTGAAAATCTGAAAGGAACCCATGAGGCAGAAAAACTTATATCTTTCCTTTATCAGTGTTTTGGTATAAAGTTTTTACAAAATCATAAAGTCCACAAACTCATCCCGTATTCTTTTTCCATGTCCCCACTTACCTGAATGACTCCTCCACCTTGGCCATCCTTCCCAGCTAAAAATTCGTCAGGCAAATTAATCATCTTCCCTAGCCAATCCAGCATGACAGTCTCCAGCTCTGTGCAAGCTGGACTTGAAGCCTGTGTTGAAAAATACAACAGAGAGAACAATCTCACTAGGCCATGAAGAGAAACAGGATCTACCAGAGCAAGAATAACTCTTTCTCTCTCTGTCTTCTGACACTAGAGGAAGAGACTAGGTGAGTAACTTCACCAGCTAAATTAGGGACCTGAAGACTATTTTGTGCATGTTATTTCTAATATTAACAAAAAAGTTGAACTGGGCCTCATGCAGAACCATGAATATCAAATGTCAAAGCTAGGATTTCCATCTTGCATATTTTTTTTTAACATCAAGCACCAACCACTTTTGAGAAGAGCCCATCTCCTATGAATGTGGGTTTTTTTAACACAATTTCCATTTCACGCATTCATCCAGATGATAAGAGAAGTAACAACATTGGGTGATATGCAGCAGTCATACTACTTAATGAATTACCAGCAAGTGTGCACTGCTACCACTAATTCTAAATACTGGCGATTTTTCAAGGGCAAAACCACTAAGAGGAAATAGTTTTTTATTACTGGAGTCATTCAGGGTGTCTATGTGTAAACACTTAATTAGTCAAGGAAATTTACCTATAAAAATAGTCCTGGGACTTCACTGCTATTAATCAACAATTTCATTGGAGAATGTTACTGAAATGCTTAAAATCTTGGCAGGGTGAAGCACTATTACCACACAGCAGTACATACCCAAGTAAACTTACCCAAGAGAAGCCCACACATCCTATTCCACCACACAACATATCTGCAAGAAGAGATGGGAAGGAAGAGGCTGCAGGGAAGTAGGCAAAAAAGTATGGACTGTGCCAGTGAGTCACCTGTATTAAGGGAAAAATAGTCATTCTTAGCTAATGCAGGAAGCAGAAACGAATTATCACAAAATCAGAAAAGAGGAGAAGTTGGGATCAGTCAATAGTCCTCTGCTACTTGGCTGTAACAGAGGATCCCTTTTTTTTTTTTCAGAAAAGCTTGCATTGTTTTTTCTCAATCTTTTACTCAAATTAGAAATAAATTTATTCTTGCTCCCACCTCCTCAGTTCCAAAACCAGTGTTCTGCATTTGTCTGCCTAGAAGACGAGAATTGCATGGGCGGTGGCAGCGTGAGTTTCTGTGCAGGGCATGATCTTTGAGCCTTTGCTTTCAGGGACTCCAGTATTTTGTTCTTTCATCTCTGTCATGCAATTGACTTAGCAAGAGTGTCTTCAGTGCAGCAGAGGACCACAACACTCTCTTTCCCACACTATGGAGTTATTTGCTAAAACTGAAGCACTGAATCTGGCCAAACAGCTCCTCACCACAAAATGAAACAATTTATTCCAGTATCCAGCATCTTCTGTAGAAAATTAAGTTATCATCTCCCTATAACAAGTTATGATTTATGTACAATTCCACTTTATATGTACTAATATGAGAGAACAACACCGTAATTGCATAAATTGTAGTCAATTGTCTTGCAGCAACAATATTTGGAATTATTACGCAACGTCCAAGCAATTTTTAAGGATCTGTGAGATACTTGATAGCGCTCCACAACTCCAATCTAATAAAATTTGAAAACAGGAAATGTACTGCCACAATGCAACGTTTAGTAGAAATAATGTGATATGATATGCTTGGCAAAACCAGCTTTCCCATTCAAAATAAAAGTCAAATTTCAGAAAAAAAAAAAAAAGTGCTTCTAGAGGATTAGATGGACTAATAAGCAAGAATTCAGCAGAATGGGTAAAAGATCTTTCCTCAGCTGGAAATCCAGAGGCTGCTGAGTTATTGAAGCCTAGGCTTTCCTTATGCCATTTTGCTTTCTTTTTTTTTTTGATACTGGCATTCTTCTGTTACAACTGGAGGATAGTAAGAGCATCCTGAGAGCATCACTTGCCTGAGCTTAGTGTTTCCTCACTGTTTTGTTCCACATTGCCATCTCTACTGAATTTTACCTTTCACACTCTCTCCCAGTCTTCCTTCCTTCACAAATCAGAAAAAAAAAATGCGATGGGGCTTAGCTCTTCACAGCACAACTATAAACAGATTAAAAAATACCCAATAAACAGCAGTCCCTGATAGGACTCACATGCACAGACTTTCACTGACATCCATAATGAGCCAGGGCTGCCACTGTTCACATCCCCAGCTCTAATCCTCTGTGATCTGTAAGACTTGTGACATTCATCTTGGGTTAATCAAGTTAAACTGCCTACTTGCTGGGAGCCATTTGTTTGATGAAACACAGCAGATTCCAGTTGCACCACTCACACAAAGCAGGAAAAAGCCAAAAGCCCTACGGCAAGTGCAGCTGCAGTTCTTCCTCCTGCCTCCTCTTCCCCTAAGCAGCAGTAAAATTCATTTCTTTTGCCATGTTGGAACAGACACACTTTGTCAAATATCGCAAAGCGTGTGACACAATCGATGCTTGTTTTTTCAGCCCTCTGCTGATAAACAGTGATACACAACTGTCCTGGGTTCAGTAATTACCACTCTAATGCTTCTCAGAGATGTTTTATTTCCCAGATTTCTTCTAAGAGTGTCTGTCTGTCTGTGTTGTGCTTAAGCTAAGCAAGAGTCTTCCTTTACCACACACTAAGGAAAGGTACTTCAGCCGAAAGTTCATAGATTAGTGGTTCCAACGTGAGGAAAATTAGTGTCTTCAGCACTGTCATTTGCAGTTACAACTAAACTTGATCATTTTTGGCTCTAAAAAAGGAGATCTATTTCAAGAGAACAAAGCAAGTCTGAGAGAGAAAGGTGACTCCCACTGATATTTTTATACGCAGATCCCTTCTACCTTGGCTTCCTCTTGTGGAGATCAGAGTTTGGCAGTTGTTCCCTCAGTCCTTGTGTTAATATTAGGAACTTAGCAAAACTGCGGTCATTGTCATTTAGCGGATTTCCCTTTGAAGGCCTACATCCAATTTCACAATAAGTCTCCATAAAGAAGTTTAACCAGTCACGAATGCTTGTTCTCCTATAGGGTAAAGAAAGCAATGGATACTGCATTATTGCTTTAAACAATTGTATCCTTGCTCCTCTGAAGGAACACTATTTTCACATTTTCAGTCATCCAGTAAGTAGCAAATATCTGAACACAGCTAACACAGTAAAGATGTCAACGTGAAAGAAACAGGAATCACTTATGGGCCACTGATAGCTTATGGGCAAAACAAGGTTTTATGACCCCTGTCATATTACTTATTCTCTCTGAAGAAGCCCATTTCCTCATTTATATAATGGAGATAAGACATTCCCTGGTGAAACACTGGAAAAGCACTATAGCTGAAAAATACTAAATGTACTTACAAATGTTAGTCTTGTCAGGAATAAGATGGGAAGAAGATTAAAGAAAAATATAATGAGGGTAGATTGTCCTTATATCCAATTTCAAAAGTCCCTAAAATCAATGAAAATAATTTTAAAGGTCTCTAAACCAAATGTGAGCAAGTCTTCCTATACTCCTTGCCTGCAGTGTTCATACAGCACCATAATTTTCACACTTCAGTTTCTGTGAGCACAGCTAACAGAGGCAGCCAACAGATGCAGCAGGTTGTGCAGCACTATGCACAGAAGAGGTCCAGAAACCACTATGGTTCTGCAGTGGTGGTGACGCTCCACAGGGCACAGTTCCCAGCAGCAACTGGAACAACCACCCCTGGCACATCACAGGTCTCAACACAGACTAAGCTCTCAAGGAATTATGCAGCTCTGCAGGCCTTGGATAGCAGGGATGACGGGGCCTCTTGCCAAGGCTGGGGCACTGGGAAATGGTCTTGTAGTCTGTAGGAGGTACGCGCTGGTGGAGGGCCCATGTCACCATGTAAAAGAACAGCATGAGGAGATCAGTAGATTGTGCATCAGAGATGACAAAAAGGAGATTGAGTGGATTTTCCCTGAGACATAACAAGGTATCTCAGATAAAAGACCCTGAACTCCAAATGTACCAAAAAAGGGGCAGTCAGAGTCTCTGCTTATTGGGTTGGGAAATGGAGTCTCACAATGGTGAAGGGCAGAACCTTGCAACTACTGGCACCAGGAGGAAGGCTTCTGCTCCACCTGCAGATCTGCAGCTACAGAATAGGTTCAATGTCCTTGTTGCAGATGGGCTGGGAGCCCTGCTGAGTCTAGTGAAACACTCAAGAAACCTGAGTGTTGACCCTGGTGTTGAGAAGGATTTAGGTTTTAAGACCAGTGGGACCCTCTTTGAGGATTGACTCCTAGGAAGGGACAGGATCCATCAGAACAACTAATGCAAAAATATCGTTGCTGATAGGCTGGCTAACCTGGTAAGGAGACCTTTAAATTAGGAATGATGGGGGAAGGAGATGAAAACCCACAGTCAAGGGAGGAAGGCAGACTGACTTGGCAAGCAAAGGGTGAAGGGTAATGTGGACAAGAGAGATCGTGAAAACAAGATAGGGCTAAAGCAGACACCAAGTGTATCCACATAAATAAGGAAGTGCTGAGAGGACAGCACTATAGGGGGAAGCTGTCATATCTTTTCTGGGAAATTAGCACAAGTGGGTGCTTCTCTGAAGCACTTGTATGCTATGGCATGATGCATGGGGAACTAACAAGAGAAATTACAGGGCTGTGTGCAGTTACGATGCTGTGATCTCATTTGGATCACAGAGATGTCGTGGGATAGCTGACACGACTGAAGTGCTGCAGTAGATGAGGACAAGCTCTTTAGGAAGGATGGATCAGGAAGGCGAGGCAGAGGAGGGGTCCTTTATGCAAGAGGAATGCATAGAGCTCTGCCTAGGAATGGATAATGAGCCAGTCAAGAACTTACGGGTCAGGACTGGTGGAGATTTCAAGATGGGCAACATTTGGGTGGGTGTCTGCTACAGACCACCTGCTCAGGAAGAAATACATGACTACAGTATTCAGACAGCTGGAACAAAACCTCATGTTTGCAGGTCATAGTCCTCACAGAGGACTCCAACCAAGCTGATATCTGCTGGACAAACAACACAGCAGGGCACAACAAGTCCAGGAGGTTTCTGGAGTGCATTAATGATAATTCCCTAACACAGGTGATGGAGGAACTGATGAGGAGAGCCAGGCTGTGCGACCGGATACTTACAAACTAGAAATTACTGGTCAAGGATGTGAAAGTCAGGGGCAGCTTTGACTGCAGTGACCATGAGATGGTGAAGTTCAGG